TATTACTACACACCCATGAGAACGGTCTATTGAAAAAGATAGGAAATGGAGCAAGAGAGAGAGCTCAAAAGGGCCGAGTGCATGCTTTACATGCAGGAAGCCCTGGCAATCTCCACCACATTTACACCTCAGCACCGCAGGAGCAAACCCCAAGCATAGAGTCAAAGGTAACCACTGCACAGAGGTAGTATTCCCTCAGTCCTTCCACCTGCCAATAAAAGAACAACATTTATTTTTATCAAAGTATTGGAAAGATGTAGACAGAAATAAATTTTGTATACTATTAGTAGAAATGAAAATTAGTGTAGTCTTTATGAAAAATGTATAGAAATTCCTTTAAAAAGATTTAGAAATGGGATGGAGCGAAAGCAGAGTGGGGAGGGCGTTTGCCTGGCACGCAACCGACCCAAGTTTGATTCCCAGCATCCCATATAGTCCCCTGAGCACCACCAGGAGTAATTCCTGAGTGCAGAGCCAGGAAGGAGTAACCCCTGTGCATTGCCAGGTGTGACCCAATAAATAAATAAATAAATAAATAAATAAATAAAAATGGAAAAAAACAGAATTAGAAATACCATATGACCCAACAACTATCACTCCTAGGAATTTATCCAAATATGAAAATATGTATTCAAAAAACATTTGGGGTGTGATAGCTAGTACAGCAGTTAAGGCGCTCACCTTGCATGCAAATTACCTGGGTTCAATCCCTGACACCACATATGGCATGTGGGCACCGCTAGGAGTAATTCATGAGCACCGAGCCAGGAGTAAGCACTTGAGCACAAGAGGGTGTGGGACCTCCACGCCCAAAAAGGACATTTGTACAATGCGGTTCATAGCAGGATTATTCACATCAGCCAAAACATAGAATTAAAACAAATGCCCTACAGATGACTAAATAAGGAAGCTGTGGGGTATATACTTAATGAAATAGTACTCTAACATAAAAAAAAAAAAAGATAAAGTTGTGCCTTTGGTGGGCTGGGGAGCTGGAATCTGCCTGCATATAGCTGACCCAGGTTCAATCCCTGGCATTCCATATGGTCCCCCACACACCACCAGGAGTGATTCCTCAGCGCAGGCCTGGAGTAACTCCTGAGCATTGCCAGGCATGGATGGCCCAAAAACAAAACAAGCAAACAAACAATATTGTGTCTTTGGAACAAAATGGATGGTTTTTGTGATGACTGTGCTAACAAAATAATGAAAGCTAATAGATAGTTTCATACATATACAGAATAGGAATAAAACAGGCAAGTTGACAATAAACAACAAAACTCCTACACTGGCTAAAATCTATGGTAGTGTCACTGGAGGAAAGGGAAAGCAGAGGGAAGAATGTCTAGAAGCATCCTTTTGTAGTGGCCTGGCACACAAATTTTGATGATAGGAGTATTATACACATAATAGAGGTGTGCATCTAAACCTGAAATATCTAAATCTGAAATTCCTGATATTGTACACCAATAATAAATCAAGGAAAAAAGAACAAAAGATTATAGATTTGCTAATTTTTTAAAGCGACACATACCTATCAGTTCTCAAAAATATGCAGTAATAAGAATTTTTGGAGGCCAGGGATATAGCTGATCAAAAAACAAAAAAAAAAATTATTGGGGCTGAAGAGATAGTACAGAGGGTTAGGCACTTGCCTTGCATGTGGCTAACTCCAATTTGAGCCCCAGTACCACATATGGTCTCCTGAGCACTGTCCAGAGTGATTCCCTGAGCACAGAGCCAAGAGCAATCCTGAGCACAACCAAGGTGTAGTGCATCCCCTCAAAAAAAAAATTGTGAAGAATATCATATATCTTCATTTATATCCATTAAGACATATTAAAAACAGAAAATACATTGAAACTATACAGATTTTTAAGCTAAAAAAATAACCATTAGAGTCATATAGTAATAGACTAAGTGAAATACAAAAACTGCTTCAAATAAACTATATGTGATTGCCTAGTTACAATTTAATCTTTGTAATAGTTATGAATGCCCATAAGTAAATAATAGAATCAGTTTCAGAAATAGTTTCTATTGATATATAAAACATTAAGATTTGACCGTTTTTCCTCCCGCAGAGAAGAAAGTTTATAAACAAAAAATTTATAGAGAACCTTAGAAAACAAAAAATTTTAGAGGCAAAATGAGTCATATTAGTTTTCTCTTTGAAAAGCTAGGTATACAATGTTAGAATGCAATTTACTTCAATATTTAAAAGAATAAAATAAACATCACCAACAAAAAAAGACTCAGAGCCCATTCCTTAGAGATATATTTTTATTTTTTATGGTGCTGGGAATGAAGCTTAGGGTCATACACTTGCAAGGCAAGTGCTCTGATCCCTAGCCCTTAGAGACCAATCCCTGAAAACACAGGATAGAGAAATGCAACAGATGAAAAGAACTCATACTCTTCAAACATCACAAACAGTCCTCAAACCCACAAAAACGATCACTGACCCAATTTTATAATACTGACGGACATGGAATAAGTTTCTTACTTTTCATAAAAATTTCAATTTATGTCTCACTGTATAAAGCAATGTTTCACTTTGCAGAAATAGTCCACAAAGAACTAGCTCCTGGACATCAGTCCACACAACCACCTGCACCACAGCAAACCAAGGAAGTAGCCGACCATGTACATAGGTCCGTTTTCATGCTCCATTCCATATTTATTCCTGTGAGTTCTAAAAGTTTAACTGTAGTTTGTTTCTACCATTTGCTGAACTCTCTATATGAGTTACATTTTTTGTTCCAAGCCCCCAGCCAGCTAACCCCCTATGCCTGATGTTTATTAATCTCCTTGAATTCTCACACACTGAGAAATAGGTCTTCCTGAAGTGAGAGCTGGAATGATTAAGTAATGTGTCCAAAGTCACATGCTGCCACTAAGAAGCCAAAACATAGCCCAACTCCACAGCCAGTTTCTTAATAAATAAGTAATGTTTTGATAAATCATTTATGCCACGAAAATTGTCCATAATCACCTGCCTTCCAATTCACTACTAGGTTCCAGATACCTTAAGGATTTGTTTTTGCCTTCCCTGAACACCTGCATAGGTGTAGTATATAACAGGTAAAAGAATATAAACAAAAGTGTAGGGAAATCTATAATTAAAAAAAAAAAAAAAAGAAAGCTTTCCAGAGAAGTTAAGTGCCCTGTCCAAGTCCACAAAGCTGGTTTGTGACAGCCCACACTAAAACAATCTTGACTCTGGCCTCCCACTGTGCTCAAAAGAGCCTGCCACCACACAACACTAAATTCTTGTCGAAATCCAAACTTTACCTTCTCCACCCCAATGTACTTTGTCAACGTGCCAAACATCCAAGAGCTTCAACAGCACTCACACAGAGCTAAGGCACATTCTTTCAAGGAAGCCTGACAGAATATGCAATGCGCAACAGAAGGATCCAAAACTTGGATCGTAATGTCGGTGCCTGGTTCACTGTAAAAATCGCACACCTCAGTGGTGACATGCGGTGAGAGCTGCAGTAGGTGTTTTGAAAGCACGGAGGAAAAGATTGGCTACTTCAGCTGAGAAAAAAAAGAATCCAGAGGCCAGGAAACAGAGATGTATCCCAGGGCGGGCAGAAGCAGAGGTGTGCCTGTGTTTAGAAAGGAAGGGAAATGCTATCACTTCCACCAATGCACGCTGGGTGAGGAACAATAGGAAATATGGGGTGGGAAGACCTGAGTTCAAATCCAAGCCACTGGTGTGACTCTGAACCATCCTGAGCTTCGGGGTCCCGTGAAATGTTCAGACGGCTGACCGGTGAACTACCCCCACAAGTCTTCTGTGGGTCCAGATCACGTGAAAGTGCTTTAAAAAACTGCAAAGCCCAGTATACACATAATTATGTTTTCACTTCTAGGCAACCCCGCGCTTTCTTCCTCTTAAAGTGTGTCTCATAAAAACCTCACCCTTCAGGATGAAAATATTCCGATGACATCACTCATACACTCCTTATTAAACAGTTAACATGAATGCCTTCAGGTTCACACATCAAACTCTTTCGGCTGAAATAAATATGTATCCGTGTGTGTCTACATGTGTACATTATTGTTATTATTATTATTAATCATCATCATCATCATCATCATCTCTTCAGCCCGGGTGTCACTGACTTCTGTGCTGCCAGAAGTCTAGAAGCTGGGGGCTGTGACCCTAAGAAAAAACTAGCACTGGGTGCCGATTTTTCCCGTCGGGAAATTTTCGATCAGAAAGGCCTCTCCAGTTGCCAGGGTGCTGTCAAGAAGAGCCTGCAAGTGGCAATCACTTGGCTCCCATTCCCGGAGACTAGTTATGGATTCGCGATGGACACACGATTAGCCACGGGATGCCCTGGGCCCTGGACAGGGAAGTGTTAGGACAAGGAGAGGGAGAGACAGAGACAGACACAGGCAGACTGGCAGAGAGACAAGGAGAGAGGGAGGGAGAGAGAAGGGGGGAGGGAAAAAAGGAGAGAAGGGGGGGAAGCGAGGGAGAGGGAGGAGGAGGAGGAGGAGGAGGAATACAAACAGCAAGCAGCCACACGTGAGTCCACTGCAAAGTACGACCTGGGGCTTTTCCGGGGGGCTCCTTCCACCACCGCCTTCCTTTCCCCCCTGAAAAGTTTGACAGGCAGCCGCTGACCGCGCCGACCGACCCTGGGCGATCCTTCCTCCTCGGCTACTAAGCAGGCCCCATTTTACTTCACCTTCAGCCCTACTGTGTGTGTGCATGTGTGTGCATGCGTGTGCGTGCGTGTGTGTGTGAGTGCGTGTGTGTGTGTGTGTGCGCGCGAGACTCCTCGGATGATCCCCTCGGAGCCGCCCGCGCGCGCCCGCAGAAGTCCCCCCCGCCGGGGTCAGCGACAGGAAAGGGCCCCGCGGCGCGGGGGAGGGGACCGAGACCCCCCACCCCCCCCCGTCCGCCACCGCCACCCCCCGGCTCGGCGCCCCCCGCCCCCGCGCGCGCGCCCGCCCCCCGCCCCCCGCGGCTCCCCCCTCACCTTGTACACTTTCCCGAAGGCGCCGTCGCCCAGCTCGCCTATGATCTCCCAAAACTCCTCGGGGTTCAGGTCCCGCTTCACGTGCTCGTACTGCTTCTTCTTCTTCTCGCTGCCCAACTTGAAGATCTTACGGAAATTGAAGAAGGACATGGTGTGCGTGTGTGTGTGTGTGTATGCGCGCGTGAGTGTGCGTGTGTGTGCGCGCGCGCGTGTCCTGTCCCCGGGGAGGGTCCCCGGCACTTTCAGGACCGCCGACGACAAATCCGAGGCAAAGTTTCTCTCTCCTCTCCTCCCTCCCTCCCGGCGTCTCGGCTCCGGCGCGGGCTCTCGCGGGCTCCCGCCGCTCCGGCCGCCGGGGAAGGCGGGGCGCGACTCCCGCGCCGGCCCCCGGGATCGGGGCGGGATCGGGGGGGCGGGGGGCCGCGCGGGCGGGCGGGCGATCGGGCGGGCGGCGGCGGGACCTGCCCGGACGCGGGTCCGTCCCCTCCCGGCCCCGCCGAGCTCGCCAACGATTTAGGCCCGTGTCACGGCGAGGGAGTCTCCAGGGGCGGCGGCCACGGCCACTCGGGCTGAGGGAACGAGGCCGGCCGCCTCGGAGGCGGACAGTGGCCGCCGGGCCCCGCTCGCCCCGCCTCCGCCCGCGAACCCCCCGCGTCTTCCCCCGGCGGTGGTCGGCTCCCGCGGCGCGAGGCCCGCGCGTCCCCTGGGCTCTGGGACGCCGCCGCCGCCGCCGCCTCGCTCCCTCCCCAGCCCCACACGGCGGCCTCGCTCCGGAGCGCGCGCCGACGCCGACGCCGCCGCGGCCGCGCGCGCGCCCGCCCGGTCACGCGCCCCCTTGGGCGCGCGCTCGTGCGGCGGGCCGGCCCCCTCGGGCCGTGCGCACGCGCGTTGGACCCCGCTGGGTGGAGGCTGCGAGGGACCCCCCCCGCAGCGCTCATCTGGCGCGGGGTCGGGGGGGTTGCCTTGTGGGCGCCGGCCCGCGACCCGGGGGACGATCGCACCTCATCTACCGCGCAAGCCCTGGATCCGCGGGGAACCCCCCCCTCGACCCACCCCCCAGCATGGGTACCACCCCGGTTTCTCGTGCGAGGGACGGTGTTCTCTTTTGGGCGAGCCAGCCAAGCTGTCCGAAGTCGGGGCGCGGGGGGGGGGGGCGGGGGAGCCCCAAAAGGACTTTTCCGCTCTCAAACGGGTCCAGAGTGCAGTGAGAAGGGGAGCGAGCGTGGAGGCTGCGAGCATTGGAGCCGGAGTCTACAAGGCTCTGTGACCTTGGGCGGGTTATTGGACTGAGCCTCCCGTTGTTTTTTGGTTTTTTTTTTTTTCATCGTGGCATGCGTGTCCTGCACTGTGCAGCGATCTCCCAATTTGCAGGTGGTGGCAGGAGAAACGCGCGGCAAAGGAGCCTGCAAATGCTCCATTGTAGTGCTTTTTTTTTTTAACATTTGATATTTCAAATGTTATTGTGCAAGATTTGAAGAAAAATAATTTTCTTGTATAAAGTAACCCATTATAATAGAACCTGTGGTTACATTCTTTTTTTTTTTAATTTTTATTAGTGAAACCGCGAGGTACAGTTATAGACTTACAAATTTTTGTGCTTGGGTTTCAATTATGCAATGATAGAGGACCCATCCCTCCACCAGTGCCCATTTTCCACCACCACTGATCCCAGTATCCCTCCTTGTTGTGAGAGTGCAGGCAAGAGAGTCATAGAAATGTTAAAAAAAAAAAAATGTTGACTCTTTACCCATCTCCGATGATGAGCGTGACCCTCTACCGCGGGTCGTCTGTCTCCTCCTGGCCACGTCCACACCCTCAATCCTGGTGTTGTCCCCTTTTCGTGACTCCTGATGGACTCACGACGGCCTTCGCTTCCTTCCTGGCCCGCCTTGGGGACCACTGGACAGCGCGGCCACCCGGCAGGCAAAGCTGTGGCTGGGGCGTTCAGGGGCAACGTGGGCGGGTCGGTGTGGGCGTAGCTTGGAATTTGTCAGCTACTTGACTCGCCTTCCCTGCCTCCTCCAGGCAGGACGCGGTCAGGGGCAGAGGCTTGAAGTTCATCGCGGGATCCGAGTACCTGGCAACAGGCCTGGCATGTCCTAGGAAGGCAGATCCCCCGCATGGGTCACAGGGATCTTGGGCAGATTGCCGTGTTGCTATCTATAGAATGCCTACCAGTGTGCAGATACAAAGTCGTGTGATGTGCCCCCATCTTCCAGTAAGAGGGTTGGGATGATTCTGTTTCTCAAAATCCCGCTAATTTTAAGTAGTTTTATGGGAGTATAATTGACATATAATAAACTACATGCTTAAAATACATCCGTGTTTTGGAAAGTAGATGCACCCGTGACAACAGGCCATCGATGGTTCATAGTTTTGAACTAGTATCATTAGTAGGTGCCTCTCTATGTAAATAAAGGTAATACGAACTCAGAGTGGAAAAGGAAGACCGCGCACAGAATACAATAAAAAGTACTGTATAATTTTACAATTTAGAAGTATGCTTTGATAAGATTTTATTATACTGCCAAACAGGATATTTTTTTTGGCTGTACCTTAATTTTTTGACATGGATAAAATTATACTGCTTATGAAAGTTTGCATCCTGTACTAATCATACAGTAGGATGATTAGTAATTGTTTTCTTCCAAGCTACTTTAATAACTTGCATCTCTTCTCTGTTTCAGGTAAAAGATTGATAAATGTCTTTATTCAAAAATCCTTTTCCACATATTTGTTTCCTTAAGATAAATTACCAGAAGTAGATTTGGGTCAAAGGGTATAAGTCTGTTTCCTTTGCTTTTATTTTCTACTTCTTTTCCAGATAGAAAAACCTTTACTCTTTTCTCAAATTGCATATTCTCGTAAACTAATTCAAATAATACAGAAATTTCAAACTAGAACTTATCTATAAATCTCCTTGTCTGCCTTCCCCCAAAACAATTTCCTATCAACTTTAGGTCTGTGAGCACAAGGAAACATACAAAGGTAACAAAAAATTCACAAAAAATTGTGATAATTGTTGCCAAACTATAAAACTTTACTAAAAGTCATTGTGTTATTCTGCTACACCCAGTATATTTCACTTAGCCACAGGAAAGCTACTTTTAAAGGATAGAACTATGTTTTTTCTATGCATATACTTTTAAAGTTATAAAAATGATATCCAGTTGGCACCATGAATATTTTTTCATGCCAGCACAAGTATATCTGTCATTCTACCATCATATAGTTAAGTATTTCTTTTGGAATAAGCATTTTGGTCATTTTAAATTTTTTTCCCATAAGCCTATAAGGAGCATACAAATGCCAACATCTCTGTGTGGTTGTATGACTCTATTTCCTTAAGATAAATTTCAAGAGTGGAATTGGCTGAGTCAAAGACTATATTAGAAAATGTTTTCCTATATTGCCAAATAGACCTCTGGAAAGGACAGAGTAATTTATACTCCTCCTAATGATGTATAAAAGTGTCAATTCCACCACACCCTCAATAGCACCTAGGAGTTACCTCATCCTTTTTATCTTTGCCAGGCTGATAGCTCAAAATAATCTCTCATGTACAAGTGTCTATTAACCAGTGAATGTAGCAGCTTTTCATATGTACATTGGTCACTTTCATTTCTTATAACTTGCCTCATACCAATGAATGATATAAAATTATGTTGTTAGTATTGTATAAATAAGGTGATTAAGTCCAACACAAAGAGATTGTGCAGTTAATAACAAATTGTATTTTCTCCAAGTTATAGCATAGAAATTTTAATTCTGAGTGAGATGTCATTAAGACAGGATTCCAGTTTTCCTAGAAATAAATATGATATTTACATGTTTATGTTATTTTCTAACCAGAGTTGGACTTTCTTCAGTTGAAAAGTTTAGGATCAGGAAAATGGCTCAATGAGCTGGAGTGCCTGTCTTATATGTGGAACCCCTTGCTTTGCTTCAGTCCCCAGCACCATGTGGTAATCCCCCATTACCACTGGGTGTAGTGCTCCAAAAATAAAAGATAAAAAAAAAAGTTTAACCAGTGACTGCTAAAGTATTCAGCTACTGCAGAATTTTGGGGGCCACTCATTTTAAAAATCACTTAAAATACTTTCACTAACAGTTTTGTGAGAGGATATCTATTGTTACTATTTGCTAGGTAACTGCCCTTCTCCACTATGGCAAGAATAGTATTAAGAATACAAATCTTGCTATGAATAAGCTCTTGCTCCAGCCTAAACTGTGCTAATTTTACTTGCTTCGTCTCGTTTAACCTTCATAGCAGGTCATTGTGGTAAGTACTCTAAATAGATCCTCATAAAAAGAGAAAAAAAGTGAATGAGAGTTCAAACAAGAAGATGAGAGTCTCAGAGAAAGTAATGGCGGATTTGAATTTGAATTACGGATCCCGGTAAGTCAAACTCCTAGAATGTAATATTCCCTACAACTGTTTCCTGAGCCTCACTGAGCTGCGTAATAGATGCTTACGGGATTATTATCATTGCAGTTGCTTCTGGGAGGTGGAGTGGAAGGATAGGGTATGGGGTGGTCACTTCTGCTACTCCAAGAGTGACTCCATACAGTGCTTGGCGACCCATGCAGTGCCAGGCCTTCCACATGGTCCCGCCCTGTGAGTCATCTCCCCAACCCAGTCACTAAAATTTCTCTCTCCTTCCCCTCATAACTTGAAAATATACTCTACTCTCTACTTTGTTAGATCCCACACATATATGTGTGTGTGCATGTGTGTGCAGTTGCAGATGTGATTATATGTGTATGTATGTATGTGTACATGGCATATGTCAACATGTGTATGTGTATGAATATAAGTGTATGTGTTTGTGTTGGTATGTCTGTGTATATATACATAAATGTATGTATATATGTATATATATGTATATATGTGTGTATATATATATATAAAACGTATTTCTTCTAAGAGCACTTTGAGGGCAGAAATTTTTCTTCCTTATATGTCATGCATCTAAATTTAATTCTATAAATTTTTATTAATGAAAATTTCAAAACTCTAAGCCTTGTCAAAGCAAATTATCATTTCTTTCCTCTTATTTCTTATTTGGACAGTGAATTTACTTGTAAGGGTATTTTGTTTGCTTGGTTTGAGTTTTTTTTGGTGCCGGGAATCAAACCCAGGTCCTCACACACATAGAGCAAGCGCTCTACCCCACTGAGCTACATCCTGGGACTTTGGTAAAATCTTTAACCCTACTGTCTAGGATTTATGGCAATAGCAAATTCCTTTGGTGTACAAGTAATTCTGTGGCATAAACACATTCTTTATCCTCATGGAGTTATATTTTTAGGAACAAATTTTTCCAGGTATTTTAAGAAAGTTAACTAACAATTATGACCGCTATTCTCCCAAAATAGGATAGTGTGTCACTCAAAAATTCCAAATCATACTTTTTGTCCTTTTTTCTTGTTTTAAAAGTAACGAATCACCTGATTTAAGCTGTTTCTGTTTCAAAAAGGGAAACTAAAAATATCCTCCCTTGTGCTTGTCTCTCTCCCTCTGCGTCATTCAGAATTGTTACACACACACACACACACACACACACACACACACACACACACACTCCCACCCTCTTTTCTACCAAGCAACTTCTGCTGAAATTAATCACAAGCACTGGCAGTATAATGACAAGCCTCAACATATTCAAACCCCGGAAAACTGAAGAATAAAAACAGTACCAACATACTACTTTAACAGGTGGTTTTCAAATTCCACTTTAAAAACCCAGACACCATGATTTATTTTGAATGTTAAGGGCATAAATGGCCAATATTGAATTCTTTTATTCAGATGGTATCTGAAGGGAAGTAACTCAGCTACTGCATTAACAGGTGAGCCTATTAATTTGTTTGTTTGTTTGCTTGTTTTGATGGGGGGAGGCGCGGGTGTTTGTATAAGAGCCTTTCTGCTACTCTGTTGCTTCTTCTATGTATTATACTGCTCTTATCTTTGTATCATAAAATATATTGGGTGTGATATACTTTGAGCTCAACAATAACTGTCCTGTGATTAACTAATTCTATGATAAGTTATCAAATTTGGGCCTTTTGAAAGAGTTTCCCTTTTGGGGGTGGAGCTGTGAATGGGATGGCTGGGGCCACACCTACCTGTGCACAAGAGCTTTTCCTACCTCTGTGCTCAGGGAGTGACCCAAGGCAAACATCTCACCCACTGGACTCTCTCCAGCCCCTACACGTTTCATTTTTAACAGAGATGGCCTCAGAAAGATGAAACAATTCAGAGTGACCCTGAAAACAGGTTAAGAGATAAAAGAAAAAAAAGACAAAATGCAAAATGTAGTAGTTTGCCTTTCCAACATGATTATAGATTTCTAAGAGTCCTTGCAACTGTAAAATTGTTCTAGTTGTGCGGTAACTTGAGTTGCCTTAAATGTTCCGGAGCAAGGTAAAGGTGTCCTATTTCTGGCATAACAGTGATTGAAGAGTTAGGAATTTTCAAATAAAGGACTTGTCTGTGAGAATTCCCTGAGAATCCTGTTTCCACTGAAGACTATTCTTGGGATAACCTTTAAGAAATTTACACAATGAAAGGGAAGCGTGGCCACCATGCAGTTAGTGGGGGAGGAAGGAGTGTTTTCAGAGTACTATCAGTCACTATCTTCAGAAAGTTTTTCAGTTTTTCCCTATAAAGAAATCACCTCCAAAATCTTTATTATCATCTTGCACTAACACTTTCCTCTTCTAATCTTTCAGAAAACAATAATTTCACCCAGTGGAGTTTTTTAATTGTTGTGTTTTTTGCTGGTTTTGTTGTTGTTTCGGGGGGCGGGGAGAATGTTGGCTTGGTGGGCGCAGGGTGGTGCAATGGCGTTGTCCTACCTTACTGGGCCTTGGACATGCATGTCCTCAGCCCTTCCATCTATCTATCTCCCTGGTGACTTCACCCAGGTTTGGGGGCAGAGCAGGGTGGGGATGGAGAGATTGATTTTGATTTTTTGTTTGTTTGTTTTCTTTGTTGTAGTTTTTTTTTTTTTTTGGCAGGGGGAGGGAGCATACTGGGCTGTGCTTATTCCTGGCTCTGTGCTCAGGGATCACTCCTGGCAGGACTCAGAGGGTCATATAGGGTGCTTGGCATCAAACTGCAGTGGGCCATGTGCAAGGTAAGCGCCCTATCCTGTATATATCTCTCCGACCCCTCATCAAAGATTTTAAGGAAAGCTTTGTTGCTCTGTATTCTGGTTTCACAAAGTTGTCACAGCAATTACAAACCGCAGTGTATAGCTTATTGCAGTAAATGATTAACACAGAGACACACTACCTATTGTCTGGGAAAGCACCACTTTTTTTTTTATGTCTCGTATTTCATGTTGCTACAGGAAGAAATTAGTCAAGCTAGATTCCTATTTTTTAATCCATGTGGAGCTTCTTAAAATGGCCATTCCTAACAAAAACCAATTTTTATTTTTTGGTGATTGAGGGCACAGCTGAATGTGTGTGTGCGTGTGTGCGTGTGTGCGTGTGTGTGTGTGTGTGTGTGTGTGTGTGTGTGTATTCCAGAGTCAACTCTCTAAATAGCTATTGAGAATGACTGCCTTTCATTCAATCTACAGTCTTGATATTCTACTCCATGAGCTGGGAAAATCAGTCAAAATCAAAACACACTGAAAAATAAATTCAAACAAAACCCTAGAGTCTCTTGAATCTTATATTCTAGATGATTAAGTGATATTTAAACTAATCAAGAGAGAGTTTTTTCTAACAAAATGATTCAAAACTAGGGGATATCTGAGACATCCGGGGTACTATATTCCTTGAAAGTCTTTCCATCAAGAGGGAGGAAGCAGGTCCCCTCCCTTTAACCTTGGACCCGTTACTACCTTACTTCTTCTGTTAGTAGACAGACAGTGTGGCCGTTTCCAGACCCAAACCTGAAGACATTAGCAGTTGCCAACTTATCATCAGGGACACATATTCTTCCACCCCAGCTGCCATGCTCTGGAGAAACAACAATGTGGGTAAGGACCCAGACAGACGGGGATCTGTGTGCCAAAGGACAGAGATCTCAGGGCTGAGCCAGCCGCCACCCACCAGCCAGCACTTGTGTGAAACACCTGAATTTTGATCTTCTAGCCTCTTGTCAAATGATCCCAGCTGACATCTAGTAGAGAAAAGGCAGCCTTTACATGGAGTCCTACCCAATTGCAGATTTGAAGTCATGTAAACCATTGCTGTCAATGCAAGCCAGGAAAGTTTGGGGAGATTAAGCAATAATCTAAATCAACGTTAAGTAAGACAAAATGCATTAAGTGTAGTAAATTAAAGTTTAGTTTTAGAAAGGAGTACTAGAGTAGAGCCACATGACTTGAGGAAAGTCTAGATTAAATAAAGCTTTGGGTTATCTTTTACTCTAGAACTTTAAATGGGGTGATGTGGTTTTTAATTATGCACAAGAATACACAGTGTCTTGTTTACAATAGCTAGAATCTGGAAGAAACCTGAGTGCCCAAGAACAGATGACTGGTTAAAGAAACTTTGGTACATCTACACAATGGAATACTATGTAGCTGTCAGAAAGGATAAAGTCATGAAATTTACATACAAGTGGTACTACATGGAAAGTATCATGCTAAGTGAAATGAGTCAGAAAGAGAGGGATAAACATAGAAAGATTGCATTCATCTGGGGAACATAAAGTAACAAAATAGGAGACTAACACCCAAGAATAGCCGAGATAAGTACCAGGAGGATTACTCCATGGCTTTGAGGACAGCTGCACACGCTAGGGGAAAAGGGAGCTCAGATAGAGAAGGGAGCACCAAATAAAGGGTGTTGGGAGGTTCCTCTCAGGATGGGAAATGCATGATGAGAGTAGACTATAGTCCGAACAATATTGCCACTCAGTGTCTCTTTTGCAAACCGCAGCACTCAAAAGGAAAGAGATAACAAAAGGGAATGCCTTGCCACAGTGGTAGAGTGGGGTTGGGGAAAGGGGGTTGGGAGGGATACTGGGACTGGTGGTGGTGGAGAATGGGCACTGGTGGAGGGATGGGTATTCGATCATTGTATAACTGAAACCCAAGCACAAAAATTTGTAAGTCTACAACTATACCTTATGTTGTTTCACTAATAAAAATTTAAGGAAACAAAAAAAAGAATACACAGTGTTTCGCTAACATTTTAGCCCCAGAAGCTGTATTTTCAAATTTTGTGTTGCAAGGTTTGTGTCTTCAAGGACTGTCCTGAAGATACTCGGACAAGGCCTGGGATGGGGCTTGATTGTAGAGTACTTGCATAAGGTTCTAAGACTCAAACCCAGCACCTACCACAGGGAAAGCAAATGATCTACCACTGAGTCACATCTCCAGCCCTCCAGTTTCTCCATTTTCCACCTCAGCATGACACAACTTTGAAATGAAAATGTAGTATCAATGTTGAAATTGATACAAGCCAGATTAGAATCCAGGCCAATTTCCTAGGTCCCCCTCATCATTATCCTCTTTTTAACCTTTCAAATCCTCTACTGGAACTTCCCTCTGGAGAGAAAGTTTTCCAGTCAGTATTCTTTATTTCCCTCTCATCCTGGATCAATAAAGCCTTGATTTTTATCCTATGGTCTCACTGCCAAGTCTTATCCACCCTGATCCATGTCTGATTGCTGGGAACCTTCTTTCCTGTTGGATTATTCATGTTCCAACAGTGCTGAGCTAATCACCTCTTTCTCAATCCAACTGAGTTAGGAATTATGGTGTCTAGGTTTTTCTCTGGCTGGTGGGGAGACAACTTATTTGGCTTTTGTTCACTACCGGCAACCAGCTGCAAAAGGAGTGGGTGAAAGGCTAAAGGCAGCGCATACATACTTCCTTAGGAGGCTCAGTCTGGGTCTGTGCAAGACACCTTTTTTCTGGATGTATCAAAGATGACTGAAATAGCGGTGCCATTAACCCAAACACAGGGATTGTGTCATCATTTATGCATCTAGGATGTTTTAGCTTTTGTTGCCTCAGGATCTTTTATCCATGGCATTTCAGACATGTGTTTCAATAGGAGAGATTTAACAGAGTCCCTCTGAGTTCTGATTCTATAGTCAGTTCTTTCTGTCTCTCTTCTTGTAAACTTAATATCTCATTCCTCCACCCAAGAGATGCTCATCGACCACCCCCACCTCCCTGCAGAAAAAGTTTAATTTATTCCTGTCCCGTCCATACATTATCCCCTTTCACAACAGCTTCACTTAGAGATGTTCAAATGCCCAATTAAAATTTAATAGTAAACCCTATTGTACCCTATTATATTTTGTTTGTTTGTTTGTTTTGAGGAGGGCACACCCAGAGTTGTTCATGGCTTGCTCCTCACTCTGCACTCAGGGAGATCTCCTGATTGGGCTTGAAGGACCAAATAGAAGACAAGGGTCAAACCCAGGTTGACCATGTGCAAGGCAGACACTTTACCCACTATATTATCTCTCCGGTCCCCTATGACAACTTTCAAAATACTTGAAAGCTATGATAACTCCCTAATGAGATTTTTTAAATCAGAAACAATCTAAAATAGTTGCATTAAGTTTACGTCCATTAAGGAGAGCGGAGGAAGTTGGATTCACAACTTAGGGGGCAAACGTGGCCTTCCATGGACTTTCTGTTCAATTGGGATCCTCAATAGAGAGATGATGTTCTTTCTGTATTGGTGAAGAAAGGTCTTTACTCAGACCAGTTGACTGATTCAGCTGCTAAATTCTTCTTAAATACCTTAAGACAAACCCAGAAATCATGTTTTACTAGCTTCCTTGTATTTCTTGGTCTCATTAAGTTGACACGTAAAATAAGACATCAGACCATACAGCAGATCACAGCTTAGACAGGGATAAAACTCCAAAAATATGCTGAGTGAAAGGAGCCAGACCGAAAAAGAGCACATTCCTTTTATACCGTAAATGGAAACTAAAATATCAAGCTAGTTATGTCGATAAAAAAGAACATCAGTGGTTGTCTGGGGATGGGAGGACAGTAGAGTTCCATGGCCACAGAGATACACGGAAACAGTTAATAAACATGTTTATTATTTTGATCATGGCAGGGGATTCATAGGGAACTTATATTTCAAAAATGTGAGACTGTAGGGCCGGAGCAATAGCACAGCGGGTAGGGCGTTTGCCTTGCATACGGCCGACCCATGTTCGATCCCCGGCATCCCATATGGTCCCCCAAGCACCGCCAGGAGTAATTCCTGAGTGCAGAGACAGGACTAACCCCTGAGCATTGCTGGGTGTGATCCAAAAAGCAAAAAACAAAAAAAAAAAAAAAACAAAAAAAGTGAGACTGTACATTTCAAACACATGCACTTTATTATGTCAATTATATCGCAAAGGAACAAAAAATGTATTTTGATATTATCTACCCAGCTATTCTCATTATCATAAAACTATTCTTACCTTGTATCATTCAAAAGCAGCTCCTAGGTTTGCTTTAACAATAAGAAAAATAGACTTGGAGACAAAAGGTAGGGTGTTTGTCTTGCACTGGTTTCGATCCCCAGCATCCCATATGGCCCCCCAAGTACCACTAGGAGTAATTCCTGAGTGCAGAAACAGGAGTAACCCCTGAACAATGCTGGGTGTGACCCAAAAAGAGAAAGAAAGAAAGAAAGAAAGAAAGAAAGAAAGAAAGAAAGGAAGGAAGGAAGGAAGGAGATTCAAATTTGCATCACTGATGTGTAGCTAACTTAAATTCACTCTCAGGACACCGAAGCAAAGCATTAAGAAAGTGTCATGTGCTGATACTTTATGTAATGACAATTCCTTTTCATAAGGCAAGAAAGATAGTACAGAGGTTAAGGCTCTTGCTGTGCATGTGACCGACCAAAGTTCTAGGCATCGAATATCGTTTCCTAAGCATCACCAAGAGTAATTCCTGAGCACAGAGCCAAGAGTAAGCCTGAAACATCACTTAGTATGTTCCCACCAAAGGAAGAAAATTTCTTTTCATATGAAAGGAAAATGGTAGTATGGCAAGAGGCTTCCATGGGGACTTTTGAACCCCCATTATCTCCTTTGACAACTATTTCCTCCATTGTTTGCAATGGGCAGATATCGTTTCTCTCAGTTTTACAGAAAATACTTTATCAACACAGCTCTGGGTAAATTCTCAGACTCCAGTTCCAATCAATAGCCGCTATCAGCCACTCCCACATGTACTTCTGGGCTCTACTGGGGAAAGTCCCCCCTCCCCCCCCCCCACACACAAACACACACCTTCTTTGATTCTTTCTATAATATGGAAGCCACCTGGCTGGGTTTTATACCTACAATTAGCACAAGTGATTGTATTGGAATTTGTAGAATATTTTGCTTCTCATTGGTATTCACTGAAGTTCTGGAAACACAGGCTTCGCAATGGAACCCTGCAGGTCCTTTGCTCTCCTTGTACCTTTATGACTCCCTCATGAGACCACCCTAATACCATTCTACAGCTTTGCCTCCTTTCAAATGTTTGCTGGCCCACATAACAACCGGGATTAGGGAATTATTAAAGGATAAAGCCTGCTTTGAAGCCAAGTATTATTGCTAGCCAGCCCCAGAAACGATCTTGCTAAACCAACAAAACTCAAAGACTCTAACTTTGTCCCTGAGAGCTTCTCTTTGTCTTCCCTTCAAGCCGCAGGATTTACTTTCCCAAAGGGAGGTTATGTTCCATTTGTTTTGATAGCATCCAGATTCTGGAGATAAACTCATTTACAATGTAGTGCACTCCTGTGTACCAGGCCAACAGAATTATTTTCAAATTACTCACCACTCTATTGAGTTGGCAAAATAAGGTATCTTGATTATTACCAACAAGAGCACTGCAAGGTGCTGGAATTCTCTACTTCCAGGAGCTATCTCTGTATTAAAGAACAAGGGTCTCTGTGTAGTTGCACTACTATTAACTTGTGTGCTACGCAGAAGGAAAATTTTAGTGTTTCCCTCATTCCCAAGAGCAAATTAGTCAGAGGGTTTTAAATCACTGCTTGAATCTCAAACAATGAACAGTAACACTTCTGGGAGAAAAGGTATTTTGCCTTTTACAATGAGTTTAACATGAAAGATAAGAGCAACCATGGAGTGATACTGGTAGATGTTTCAATATGAAAAAGAGTTGAAACACAAGAATCGAGAGCCAAAACCTGCCACTGTTCTTAGCTCTGAGGAAGGGCTTGATTAAGGGAGTTTTCACAGTCTAATTTAAAGTCATTTGGGCCTGCAGGAAAAGGGCTTTGCTAGAAGTGGTGTTAAATGTTGACCCAGTTCCCTCTTCAACACTGAAGGATGTATACCCCTGATGCCAGGAGAATTGACTCAGCTAAAGAAACATCAGGTCACACCTGTTTCTTGAGACTGTCCCATTCACGGACTGGTTGATCCCAGTACATCACAGCCTGCTCTCTCGCCCCAGGTAAAACAACTCAAAGTCTCACTTCAGTTCCAGGGATCCCAGCAGGCTTAGCAGAAGTCTTCGTTAAGATCGTTTAACCCACGTACCTTCTCTCCATTCAATCCTGCTCCTGCCCCTCCTCTTCTACGGGGGTTGAACCCCAGCAGGCTCAACAAGAAATCAACTTTCAAGATATTAAACTCTGCTCAGAGCTGTTCCTCCACCCCACCACCCCACCCCCACTTTTCCCAGCTTCTTCAGGATATAATAGACATATCACACTTTTGAGTGTGAGATACATAAGTTGTTGATTTGAAGCACAGATTGCAAGATGATTAAAGACATAGTCAGCTCATACTGCCCCGCATCGCATAATTACCATTTCTCTTGTGGTGAGGACAGCTCAGCTCTAGTCTCTAAGGAACATTTAAGCATGTAATATAGTGTTATTAACTATGATCATTATGCTCTGCATTAGATCCCCAGGTCTTACTCACCTTATAGGTGGCGTTTGTACTCTTCGACCAACAGTTGGCTTTATGAGTTTGACTCCTTCAGAGTTTACATACAAATATGTCTCCTCTCTTTCTGATTAGTATCACTTCGTATAATGTCTCTAGGTATATCTACATAGCTGCAAATAGCAGGGACTTTTTTATTCTCATGGCTGAATAATATTCCATTATAGACATATACCTTAGAGTCTTTTTATTTGGGGGCCACATTCAGCAGTGCTTAAGTCTATTCCTGGACTTATGTCCATGGACTGCTCCTAGTGACACTTGGGGAATCATGGTGTTGGGGATCAAACCTGGGACTCTTACATGCTGAGTACATACTCCAGTCCACTGAGTTACCTCTCTGGCCCATCTTAGCCATCCTTAAACTCTGGGTGGCTATCCCAAACAGAATCATGTAACTAAATGTGTGTGTGGGGGGGGGGGGGAGTAGGGTGTGAAAAATGGTAACAGTAGAAGGTCTCCCTACTTGCAACAAGTAAAACTTGCTTCAGAATTAGCTGCCTAATGAATTGTCTAATAGTACTTGCCCATGTTATGCATTTCTTGGGCAAAAAAAAAAAGGCTTGGGAGTGGGGAAAGTTTTAAAAGTCAATTTTTATGCCATATTTTTTGTCCATTAATCTGTTGATGGCCACTTAAGTTGTTCCCATAACTTGGCTATTATGAATAGCTTGACTACAATGGACCTGGAGTAAAAATATGCTATTTTTTAATATTATATTTTTAGAAACACTTAAACAACAAAGTGAAGCTTAAAGGAAAAAGTAACATTAAAATTCTATCCCCACTCTTATATTTTCCCAGAAATTATCATTGATAATTATTACCTGCATATCCTCCATGAAGTGTCCTGTAAACCTACAATCATACAAGTATATATGTTAATTATTTTGCACAAATCAAAGTATATGTTAAGTATTGTAGTACTTGGTGGGGTTTGTTTAAATATACTCAGTATATTTTCTCACATCTTCTCATGTATCCTTATAGTTGTTCCATATTGTACCATTATGTAGATATAGCATATTTTGAGTGTTAAAGGTTTGGGACCATCCCAGTGGTGCTCAAGGCTTACTCCTGGCTCTGTGCTCACGGAATATTCCTGGTGGTGCCAGGGGTCAGACCTGAGTCAACCACATGCCAGGCAAGCATCTTATCCACTATATTATCTCAGTATCATACTTTTGAAAAAGATTTTACAACATGAATACGTTGAAGTTTGGGGATTTCCCCTTTCGGAAATAATACTACAAGTGATACTATAAATTGAATGCTTGTGGTCATCTGTGTACATATCTACAGGATGAATTAATAGAAGTAGACCTCACCAGCTATGGACATAATAAAATTGCTTTATCAGCAATAATAGTGGGAAATTGTCTAGGATAGGCCCCCACAAAAATACATTACCTTTGGGTTCACATTTTGATTATTTTAATTAAAATATGAATGGGGGGAATAAAAATGTGAATATTTCAGTGAGATAAATAATTCTATTTTGGAAATATGAGGTGAAGGGGTGAGGCAAAGAGAGGGAGAGACAAAAAGAAATAAAGAGGGGGGAGAAAAGGAGAGGTTGAGCGCGAGTCCCACAAATTAAAGAGAAATGACACCCCCAGAACTGGGATGCGAATGACTCCAGAATTAAGTGCACCATGATTATTTTTTAAAAATGGGTTTTGCAGCACCAGGAATTAAGCTCAGTATCTCACAAATACTAATCAGTGCTCTACCACTGTGTGTGTCTTTGGCCTTCTTTGGGTAGCATTTTAAAAACTGTCCCCTGTGAGAGAATAATTTTAAAGTTCCCTTCCTCCCCACTCCCACCTTTCAGCTGGACAGACACTAGATTTGCTGTTGTGCCTGTCACTGTCCTCCCATTGTTCATCGATTTGCTCGAGCTGGCCCAGTAACGTCCCCATTGTGAGACTTGTTGTTACTGTGTTTGGCATATTGAATACTTCACGGGTAGCTTGCCAGGCTGGCAAGATGCTCTCTGTAGCTTGCCGGGCTCTCCGAGAGGGGCAGAGGAATCGAACTTGGGTCGGCCATGTTGGCCGCTTGCAAGGCAAATGCCTTACCCGCTGTGCTATTGCTCCAGCTTAATCACTAGATTTGCTGTTCAAACTCCACATCCATCCCATTCCCTGTTCAGCAAGCCATCTGTTCATCATGTTCCAATTGTCCTCCGCACCAGGGCAGCCTACAGTCATATGATTTAAAATTGCTTCTTGGGATCATTAAGTCAATGATGGTTGGAAGGATCACTCGGCTGGGAGATGTGTGCTGAAAGTAGATAAAGGACCAAACATGATGGTCTCTCAGTATCTGTATTGCAAACCATGATACCCAAGAGTAGACAGAGAATAAGAAAGAAATCATCTACCATAGAAGCAGAGAGAGTGGTGGGGAAGGCGGGAGGGATACTGGGGACATTGGTGGTGGAAAATGTACACTGATGGAGGGATGGGTATTCGATCATTATATGACGAAAACTCAAACATGAAGGCTTTGTAATTGTATTCACGGTGATTCAATAAAAAGTAAAATAAAATAAAATTCCTTCTTGTTAACCAAGAGCTGTGTCTAGACAGTACCCTGCCCCAGTATTTTTTATTGACCACTAGTTTATTTTTTCTCCATGGAGAACTGTTCTGAGTGATATTTTTCTTGAATCATGAATATGTCATAATTGAGATATGCCAGCAACATAAGGGTTTTGGAACTATCTCAATAGAACAGATGATGGGTCAATGAGACTATCATTTGGTACTTTATGGTACTGAAACAAATTGTCTTAAAATTTTGTGACTCTAAATTTAGTGATTCTAACTCAGGTCATTGGTTTTGGGAAATAGATACTGGTGGAGGGACGGGTGTTAGATCATTGTATACCTGAAACCTGATCCATGAACAGCTTTGTAACCGTATCTCACAGAGACTCAGTTAAAAAAATTAAATTAAATTAAAAAATAAATTCAGTGATTCTAGGCCAGAAGCGCAGGAACCTCAGTCAAATTTATCTCCAAGGCAGGAGGCAGTTTCTGGGATCTGTCTCTGAAAACAGAACCCGAAATCGTGACAATAGGTGCCACCAATCCAGTGACCTGATCTGGCTAAGTCCATCAGCAGGCAGCTAGCAGAGTGGCCTCAACCTTAACTGTCCAGGTCTAACCTTCGACACAGATTACAGGATCTCATTACTCTGTGCTGAGAGCAATCCCTCTTACAAACTGAATGAGCTGGAAAATGTTCTTAACCTATCTGAAACATATCCCCCTCACCTCTAAAGTAAGGGTGATACAAAAATTTGTAAGTCTACAACTGTACTTCATGGTATTTCATTAATAAAAATTTTAAAAATAAATAAAAATTTAAAAAATAAATAAAAATAAAAAATAAATAAAGTAAGGGTGATAGTAATAATAGTCCCTTTCTATGGTATTGTGGTGACAACAGAATGATATATGGATGCACTAATCTGGCACAGTCTCCAATTATGAACTATGTGGTTGCGACCTCTGCTACAGGCTCTGTGAAGCTCCTGATTTAAGCAAACAAGCAAGTTCCTGTCGCTCTCTACTGCCAGCATGAGAATGTGGCTTTCGAAACAGAGTCCCTTGGAGCTATAAAAACACTCCAGGGATTTTCAAAGGGGAAAGGGACTAAGAGAGTAGGAAGGCAGTAAGGCCTATAGGCCCCTCCCCTTTCATCGCAGTACTTCTACTATACCGATGAAATCGTTCTGCTATACCATCCACATACAGGATGGTCCAAATAAAACTTAATATGAAAATTTTTTTTCTATTGTTCTTCCCTGCATTCTATTCCAGCTCCACATGGTCCCCTGGTCACAGTCAAGTGTGACCCTACCCCTCACCACCAAGTTTGAAGCACTGGACTTCTGCAAGTAAATACTCTTGCTTATGGCTGAATCCTCCATTTCAAGTGAAGTTGCTTTTGTGGTTTTATGGGGCTTTTTTAAAACCTTCTGTTATATGTACAATAAATTAATGTATTTAAAGAAAATCCTCTTCTTTCTGAAACCCTAAAGCATTAGAAGTTGTTTGGGTGAGTATACGTGTTTGTAAAGAACAGTGTTGTATTGATCTCTGCCTGTGAAACACCCAGCAGCTCCAGCCCTGGCAAAACATGATCATTTACAAGAACAGTACTCCATCATGTGTCACAGCCTAAGGTACCCAAGATCTTTCCCAGTCCCTCTAGTCATCTGACCACCTGTCCCAAAGCTAGGAGGGCACCTGGTCTCAGCCCTATGCCTGGTTGGTGCTGGCTACCCATGAGAACTAGGATTTTGTTGATTGCAAAGCATCTCTGGACTTGGAAATAACCAAGCAGAAACTTGGTCAGAATTCTGGGAAAGTCTCAGTTCTGAATGCACACAGCATTGCTTCTCTCACCTTTCATTGGTCCAACCAAGTCACAAAGTCAGCACAATTTCAAATCATGGGAAGTTCAGCTTCATTCATTGATGAGCGCTGTAGCAGTCACATTGCAGAAGGACACAGACATAGAGAGGTGGGATTCATTTGGGGAGTCAGTATGAAGCACTACCCCCTATAGCTCCATACACTTCATTAATGCTGCTCATTCCATTTGTGATAACCCTCTACCATGAATTATTTCAATGAGGAAAATCACCCCCACATACCATCATTATAATTTCATATATATCCAAATATATCCAAGACATGTACTCATTCAGCGTTTTTCTAAAATGTTGGTAGTGAGAGTTGGGAGATAGCTCATGTGGTACAACATATGTAGCATGTGTGAAACCCTGAGTTCAATCCTTAGCATCATATGGATCCCCAATAATCACTGGAGGTCTCCAAGAGCTGCTGGGCGTGGTTCCTAAAAAAACATACATAAACTATTTCTAATAATACACGGTCTTCCTGAAGTGGGCTGGAGAAATAGCAAGAGTTCAAGTCCTTGCCTGCATGCAGCCAGCCTAAGTTTGATCCTCAGCATTGCATGGTCCCCCACTGAGTACTGGGAGTGACCCCTAAAGAGATAGGAATAATCCCTGAGCACTGCCAGGTGTGGCCCAAAAAGGTCCCAAATAAATACCAGTATAAATAGTCTATATGAACTAAATATTATTGTGCACCTTTTCACTTCGCATTGTGCTGTTTAGTTTGTATAGATTGTTTCTTTTAACGCTCATCACAATCCCATGAAAGAAAAGCTATTGTTACCACCATTTTACAGAAAAAAAAATGAAGCTTGAGACCTTATCTAACTTGCCTAATGTTCACATATATATATACATATATGTGTGTGTACACACACATATATACCAATCATGCTGTTATATAAACTCCATTTTCTCATATAACATCACACGAACATCTCCACTGACAGCTTTGAAATGGTTAAGTCAAAACTGAGAAGCAGCAATGACTTTACAATATTTGAGATTCTGGTTCCTGGCCAGGATTGCATCTTGACCCTGTCAGGTGGTTGCAGATCAGAACAAAATAATGATGGACTCCCTTCACTGCCAAGTACTAGCTTTGAAATTTTAATCTTTTATAAAGAGGCTCAAGGCTTGATTTTGGCAAAGTTGGTCGGTGAAGAAAATAACATCTGATTTTTTTTTTACAGTTATGACACATTTCCTAAGAGCCAAGCAGTCTGAGTGCAAAATTGGAGAGTGTCCATTTCTCCCAGGAGCAAGAGTGAGAAAAGACAGGCATCAAAGCCTGCAGAGAGACCTGCGATCTTTTCAGGTGTAAAAGTGTTGGCAGTTTGAGATAAGATATTAAGTTTCACTGATAACCTATCTCTCAGTAAATGAGCATTTCCTTCTGGAGACAGGGACCTTACATATTTTTTTATCTCTAATTGCAGGATTTTGTATATTCCAGGGCAAAAATTGGCAAATGTTTGTGGCTTGGTGGGAGGGAAATAGCAGGTACAAATGTCTGAAAATGAAAACTCAGCAAGGTCCCTTTGTACATTATCTCATAGATTAATAAAAATAGCAAATATGATATGAGGAGTAATATGAATACACAAAATAAAACCTTGCCCTTTGCATAACTGCTTTGTAAATGTAATGCTTATTTGTTCTTTTCTATAAGAGGGCAACTTGTAATTTATTTAAATTCCTAGCATTCAAGAAATGGAAGTTTTGGCAAAATTTGCTAGAAATATTTATTTGTTGATTTGAGAACCACACTCACCCAAGTCCAGGGCTTATTCCTGTCTCTGTGCTATGATATTATTCCTGATTATCTGGGGGAATGATATGCAGTGCTGGGGAGCAAACTGGGATTGAGTACATGCAAGGGAAGCACCTTAATCTTATTTCTCCTATTTCCTATCTCCTATTTCTATTTCTCTGATCAGAAACTTTTAAATAATGCCCCATAAATTGTGCTCGTGGTTCTCATTTCCAACTAGCAATGTAATAGCTATTTTATGAGCAAAGCATTTGACTAATACTAAAAAGATTTATGATGTTGCTTTTTACCTGACATATATGTACATTCAACTTTGAAGAGATGCACAAGAAAAATAATAATAATAGTCAAGAGACTGGACTGTGGTTGGAGATGTGACCCAGTGGCAGAACACCTCACTTTGTATGTGTGAGGCCTAGGTTCAATTCTTAGAACCACAATACTAACAAAAATACTGGGACCAGTGAGATTGTTAAAAGGGCTGAGTCACGCTTTGTGTAGGAAGGCCTGGGTTTGACTCCTGATACTGCATGATCCCCTGATAACTGAATTGGGAGTATCCCCTAAACACTTCCAGGGGTACCCTCCTCCTGCCCTAGAAAGAATGGACTTTCTGTGTGCTGGTGGTTGTGTAACCCTCAAGTGGATGTTTAGCTTTGGAAATAAGAAGCCCTCAATTTCTAAATTATCTTTAATAACAGGACTATATGCCCAATGAAGAAGAGATTAAATGACCAGGGTTTGGTTATGTTTTAAAGAGCTAATGACCATTTCTTATTCATAAGCCAAGTACAATAAACTGTAAATGGCTGCCTGGAGCATTGAGCTAAAATGAATCAGGTTGAATGTCCAAACTTAAAAGGAGAGCTATGAGGTGATTTATTGAGTTTTGTCACTGGTATGGTAAGACAGAGAACTGCAGTATGCTCGCCCACTGTTGTCACACCAAGATGTAAGAAAATATGACTTTGTATGAAACATGTTTTATTGTTATTTCAGAGGTCCCCAGGATCAAACCCAGGGTATTACATTTTCAAGAAACATGTACTAGCATGACAACTCATACCTCACATCACCCATTCTCCAAGAATACCACACCACATTTGATGGGTTTTAAAGTAGGAGACAACCAATCTTAGAGGGAGACATTTTTTACAGATATATATGTGTATATATATACACACATACACACATATATATATGCACACAAGGCTCAATCTTTAACAACATGTTAGTGATCTCTTATGGAAGGGCTTAATGACCCCTGGGTGAAACCCAACAGTCCTTCACACTCTTTCTTCTAAGGAAAATTTTTTGTAGCATTTTCATGGTTTTCTATAACAAAAAATACAAAATAAATTATTTTGGTTCTGCTTTGGGGCAGAGATTGGGGTTCAGGATGGAAACATCTGAAATATGGTGGTGGGAAGGTATAATGGTGGTCGCATTGGTGCTCGAACATTAAATTTAATCAAATATTGTGAATTACCTTATAAAAGAAAGAAAATGAATGAAGGCGATAAAAATTATAAAATACACACACAAAAAGAAATATGCACTAAAAGAATTGCTGAATATCTTTCCTCACAATTACTACAAATGTATTTGGGGGTGTTTTTTGGTTTTATTTTGTTTTGTTTTGTTTTGCTTTGCTTTTGGGGTCACACCCAGTGATGCACAGGGGTTACTCCTGGCTCTGCATTCAGGAATCACCCCTGGCGGTGCTCAGGGGACCATATGGGATGCTGGGAATTGAACCTGGGTTGGCCGCGTGCAAGGCAAACGCCCTACCCGCTGTGCTATCGCTCCAGCCCCCAAATATATTTGTTGAGCACCAACTTTGTTTCACAATTTCAGGTATTGAGGACATAGCACTTAACAACGAATGTTCATGCACCAATACACATACACGCACACATTTAAATTAAAATGCTTCATGCTGGAAGTAGACTATAGACCAAACATGATTGCCACTCAATGCCTCTTTTGCAAACCACAACACCCAAAAGGAGAGAGAGAACAAAAGGGAATGCTCTGCCACAGAGGCAGTGTGGGATAGGGGGCTGGGGGGTGGGAGGGATACTGGGATCTGTGGTGGTGGGATCTGGTGGAGGGAGGGGTATTTGATCATTGTATAATTGAAAGCCAAGCACAAAAAATTGCAAGTCTACACCTATACCTCATGGTGTCTCACTAATAAAAATTTTAAAAAATTAAAATGCTTCACTGCTTTCAAAAAAATCTTCTCTAGAAGATATCTCATTGAATTCTCTCAATGGTCTAGCAAAATGAGTGAAATATGTGAGGATACACTTACGACACAAATAGTATTCTGAATCATTAAAGGTTGAATCTACTTCTTTAAATTAAATATATAAATCAAAAAAGATAGAGGGAAGAAAGAGCAAACTAAATACTTAATAATGGTTAATCTTTAGGGCTATTTCCATTAAAGCCAAGAATAAGATTAATCACCGACATTCAATACTGTACAGGAGCAAGTTTAGTATTAGAAAAAAAAACTGCTGCAGGAACCAGGAAATGGCACAAGAGGTAGTATACAGATGTAGCATGCCCCCATTCTGCATTCAGTTCCCAGCACCACACACACAGTCTCCTGAACATCATTGAGTGAAGTTCTGGAGTTGCCCAAGCATTGCCAGGTGTGGTCTTGAGGGCTCAGGACCATCAGGGTGACAGTAAATCACCTCTCTGAGTTTGAACGAATGCCTTCATCTTCCCGTGAGATGTTCCAAGAGTCCTCATGCAAAAAATCTCCTAGAATTGTTTGCTGGTTACTGCTGTG